CATAATTTTACCAATTGAAGCATTGGGATGTCGTTTCCCATTAATAATATGTCATCGACATATAATATCAGGAATACGACTGCGCTCCCACTTGTTTTCTTATAAACACACGGTTCATCTTCATTTTTGATAAAATCAAACCTTTTGATTGTTTTATCAAAACGAAGATTCCAGCTCCTAGAGGCTTGCTTTAATCCATAAATGGATCGATTTAGCTTGCATACTTTGTTGGCTCCTTTGGATTCAAAACCTTCAGGCTGTGTCATATACACTTCCACTTGCAGGTTTCCATTAAGGAAAGCAGTTTTGACATCCATTTGCCATATCTCATAATCATGGTATGCAGCTATTGCAAGCAAAATTCGAATGGACTTCAGCATGGCTACAGGCGAAAAGGTTTCATCAAAGTCAATACCTTGTCTTTGTGTGTAACCCTTCGCTACTAGCTTTGCTTTGTATGTGTGGACGTTTCCATCCATATCGACCTTTTTCTTGTAAACCCATTTACAACCTATCGGTTTTATCCCACCTGGAAGGTCGACCAAGGTCCAAACCTTGTTCTCATACATTGAATCCATTTCGGATTCCATGGCATCTTGCCAAATCTTCAAATCAACACTTGATATTGCTTCTACGTAATTTGTAGGTTCATCATCCTCGATTAATAATACTTGATTAGTAATCGTGAATTCGTACCTTCTGGGAGGTCGAATGATCCTTTTTGATTTACGCTGAGCTGGAGTGTTCTCAGGGTTCTCTACATCCTAATCAAGAGTCTGTCCACCAACAGGTGTAGGATCAGACTCAAGTTCATCTAATTGGTCAACAGTGTCTGTGGATTCTTGAACTTCCTCAAGTTCTAGTTTGCTCCCACTACCCTCTCCTAGAATAAACTCATTTTCTAGGAATATGGTATGCCTTGAGATGAACACTTTCTTCTCAACGGGATTATAGAATTGATACCCAATTGTCTCCTTTGGATATCCCACAAATTCACATTTGTCAGATTTAGCTTCAAGCTTATCTGATTCATTTCGCTTCACATAAGCGTCACAGCCCCAAACTTTCATATGAGATAAGTTTGGTCTTTTCCCTCTCCATAGCTCGTATGGAGTTTTGTCAACCGATTTAGATGGGACACGATTAAGTGTGTAGCACGTAGCAATTAGTGCATGACCCCAAAATGATTTTGGGATGTTTGCATGACCCCAAAATGATTTTTGGGATGTTCGCACCATATCTAACAAAGTGCGATTCCTCCGTTCAGATACACCATTACGTTGCGGTGTATATGGTGGAGTCCACTGCGAGAGAATCCCATTCTCTTGAAGATAATCTAAAAATTCTCCCTTTAAATATTCTCCACCTCGATCTGATCTTAGCGTGAGTATATTTTTACTAGTTTGTTTCTCTACTTCAAGTTTGAATTCCTTGAACTTTTCAAGTGCTTCATGTTTGAATTTCATCAGATACACATAACCATATCTAGAATGATCATCAGTGAATGTGATGAAGTAAGAGAAACCACCTCTGGCAGTTATTGACATGGGTCCACATACATCAGTATGTATTA